TGAACTGTGAGATCATGACCTGAGCCGAAGTCGGCCGCTCAACCAGCTGAGTCACCCAGGCGCCCCCACACTGTACTCATCTTTACGCTTCACACAGTGTCTGCCACATAATAAGAGGTCCATGTACATGTGCTAAAAAAAAGAGACTGGAGACTGGATCTTTTCACGTAACTCTGTGGTATGTCGCTCGGGAGAGTTTCTTGTGCATTTTCGACAAGTGCCCAATAAAACTGATTTAAAAACAATCCAACGTAAGCCTCAGTGGTGACAAGCCATCTTTTGTGTGTGTGTGAAAAACGTCTTATTATTGGTAATTTCAAATGTGGTAACTCAAACATTGGTCATTTCCAAGTGTACAAAAGCGGACGGAATCATACAATGAACAATTATCAACCTAGGACCGATCTTATTTCGTCTTAGCCCTTATTCCTCCCTCTCTCCCCACCGAGATTATTTTGAAAGTAATTTCCAACACCGCATCATTTCACTGCAAAATATTTCCGGGCACATCCTTATAAGATAGGGCTTCTTTGAAAAATGTTAGCTATAATACCATTATCTCACCTAAAAAAATTAATTTTTTTTAGTATCGTAACATGTTCAAAGTGTTTAAACTCCCCGGTTTCATAACAATGTATTTCACTGGTGAGACTCAAGACAGAAATAAGGTTCATGGTCAATGTCTTAGTTCTGTTTTTTTTTTTTTTAAAGGGTTGAGAGAGAGCGTGTGGGCATGCGTGTGAGTGAGGGAGGGGCAGAGAAAGAGAGAGAGAGACTGAATTTCAATTCCGTGCTGGCAGCAGGAGTCTGACTTGGGGCTCGATCCCACGAACCGTGAGATCATGACTGGAGCCGAAATCAAGCGTTGGTCCCTTAACTGACCGACGGAACCACCCAGGTGCCCCTTTTGGAAAAGTTTTAACTGAAGTATACTATATATACACAAAAGCCTACAAACCATAAGTGTATGGCTCAATGGTCTCCCAATCTCTTTTAGGTCCTTCCCCCCCTCCCTTTTTCCTTTAGAATTGATTCGATAAATAATATGTTTGTCATGCAGCATTTCCCACAGTTGAAACTTGGGCGATTCTTTCCCCCTGAAATCATTTGGCACGTTTCTCTGTTCTCTATTTCCAGTACATTGGTGGTTACACCTAGAGCTTATCAGATCAGGTCAATTTTTGACAAGACCATTTCATGGGTGCCGCTGTTTACTCCTACCGGGAGGTTCATCATTCCCGGGATGTTTCTTTCCGAAAGCATCTTTTGAAGGTGGATGCAATTTTTACAAACTGGCCGAAGCCCGTCGGAGCTGAGTCCAGTGAGCAGTGTGGCTGCTCAAGTTGGAAAATGCGGGTCAGAGAAAAATAGGGTGTGATCAAGTTATAAATGGTGCTCTTGGGTGCCTGCTAAACTGACCCTGAAGGAAATTCCAAAGCAGTTCCGGAAATGTTCTGTGCAGGGGCAGCATCCGAAGTACAGCCACCCAGGGTGACTAATGCAAAGGGCGCAGTAGTGACACGGCCGGAGAAATTGTGTGTTGGCGGTAAAGCCAGCCTTGCGGTGTGTGGGGGGACGTGCGCCGTGCCCCCCTCCAGTCCTCGCTCCCCGTAAGGCGCCGGGTCTCAAGGTGCATCACCCTCGCGCTCTGAAGCTGCAGCTGGAAGTGCGGCTGTCCCGCTGGAACGCAGCCCTCCTGGTCCCCAGGGGCTGACCTGGTCCCCAGGGGCTGACCTGGCCCCGCGTTCCTTCCATCGCGCGGCCTGGACGTGTTGACAAGACGATGCTCGGTTCCACCCAGCCCCTCCCAAGCCCTGGCACTCGCCTCCGCTGCATTACTCGGCGAGAATGCGATCAGGGCGCTGCAGGGGGAGGCCTGCCGCCCCCGAGCAGTCCATAAAAAATGAGGAGGAACCGGACCTCCGGCGCCGGCCAGGCCTCGCAGCAGCGGCCTGGCCCCGGCCCCGAGCTGACTCTGACCTGGCAGGAACCGGCTTGCTCCAACTCGGCGCAACTCCAGGCCCAGCTTGCCCGCCCTCGGGTGTCTCGCCCCGCCTCCCGCCACCCCCACCGCGGCCCGCGAGCCCCGCCCCTCAGCCTAGCCACGCCCTGTGACGAAAACAGGGCGGGGCCAGCGGCCTCTTGCGAGACTAGCCTTGCGTCAGGGCCGGCGCCAGCTCCGAGCTCCTCCCACGCCCGCCGGCCGCCGAGTTGGCGCCTGCGCAGCGCGGCTCGGCCCGGGTCGTCCCCCTCCTCCCCTTCCCCTAGCAACGGTCGTAGCGCCCGCCTCCGTCCTTCGGCCGCGCTCGCGCACGCGCTCCCCTTCCGGCCGCCCGGCCCCGCCCTCCCCGTCACCCGTAACAACCACTGGAGCCTCGCCGCGCCCCTCCCTTGCCCGCCCCCCCTCCCCCTCTCCGGTCCACTCCCCGGAA